GTTATGAGACCGACCCACCAGCACTAAACATCTGCTGCCGCTTGCTCAGCTGCTTCTTGCCAGCAACAGCAGCAGCTTCAGCGCCGGCAGAGAAAGAGCCGCAGGTCGCCGCGCTGATTTGGCAAAAGAAGATTCACCTAAATTATACTCATTAGAGTATTTGGATTGCTAAAGCTGTCACTGCCCCCCGTACGTGGGAATAAAACCGAACCAAGCAAAATCTGCTTTGGGCTTAGCACTGTTTCAGTGTCATTTTCTGTTTTCTTACGGCAGTTTCTGTGCGGCGAGGCCAGAGAGCAGGGGAGGAGAGGGTGCAACAGCAATTGAAAATTCAGGTTGTTCTGTGGCCTGGAAGGGAGAGATGGGGCGTGTTGGGGCTGCTTATATCTCCCTAAAGGTGAAAAATATCTGCAGCCCCAGCCCCGGGCACCTCCCAGGTGGGAGCTGGAGACCGGCCCCACCGCGGCATCGCTGGGGCAGGGGCTGGTGGTCCCGGGGGACTTGCTGCTGCCGCCTGTCTGGACGTGCCTGGCACAGACCAAACACAACGTCCATTAGTGGCCTTGGCAGCGTTACGATCACGGCCCTTTAGATTTCAAGGCTTCTGTTGTAGGGCGCAGTAAGTATTACTAAAGCGAGACGGTTTGCGTGTAGGTGGCTCTGAAACAGTATTTCAGATCTTGCCTTCCAGTATGAAATACTCCCTCTCTCCGGCGCACGCTTTCATGACTCTCTATTTGCAGCCACACTGTGTTACACATTTGGCATCCAGGCTGTCAACCTCTAGCAACGGGGCCTCCGCTGCCAGTCGTCTCTTTTTGCGGACAAGATTGAGCTGTACGAAGTTACCGTGTGTGTTCAGGCCGATCTCGACTTGTTTCCCTTTTGTCCATATCACTCTTTAAAAAACTGAGTGACCATGAGCTAACATATTTGTCTAGAAAATGTCATTTGTTGGGTCGTAAACCAAGACAAACAAACATCTATAAAGCCCTACCACCTGTTTAACAGCAGTGGGGTATTTTTTTCTCTACTATGCAGCAGACTTAACACTCTGGCACATGTCCATTATTTCTAAAATATGTATATATTCCTCAAACATGAGCTTGCAGTCAGAGTTAGAGATCTGTTATTTATGATGGGGGATTTTAAGGGTGGTGGGACATGTCCCTACACCCGGTTGGTCCCTGCACCGACATCTCAGCTCTACGAATTCCAGTGCAGAGCGTGAACACATCCTAGAAATATGTGGAAAGTCAGGCAGCACGTGCAGGGACCAGCCCTCTCTTTGTTCTGATATATCTCATCCTGCTCAAGATTTAACACCATTTGATGGGAGCAAGCTGCTGTTCCGGCCTATTTGTCTATCCTGACTCTGTTCTCTCCTCAATCTTTTCCAGCTTTGCCAACTTCTGTAGGTCTGCCTCGCTGTTCGTGGTAGACATCAAGCTGGCTTGTGTGGTAGGTCGAACCTTTGCCAGAAGTGCTTCTTGACAGTTCAGTACAGTCAAGACAACTGTTTTTCTCAAAGTGCCTTTATTCATGCAATAATTCAACCTTGTTTATACCAGTGAACATGAATTGTAAATTGTTGGGTTTGCTAAAATAGTCCATTTACCATGCTAAGGCAAATAGTTTACCGAGAGAAGTGCCTAAAAGAGCACATAATCCCAAAGATAATTTAATACAAATCAGAGCCTGCAGATGTTTGCAAAAGTGAGATAACAGACTAAATGAGGAGAGGAAATTTTTCTGATAACTCATCCCAGCACTAGCTTCTTTACAAGCAACCAACAGAATATTATAGCTAACCTGGAGCTGGCCCGCTCTGTGTGCGATGCTATTTGTGTATTGCAGATTACATTGTGGGACTTCAGAGCTGTCATTGCTAATTTAATGTGCATCTCCATGTCTAACAGACACCTCCGTGGGACTTAACTGAAGCTTTTATCTACCCACTGGCTACTGTGTGGCCACCCTGAGCCTCCATCGAAGAATGAACACAGTTGCTGGGCCAGGGAGTGCTGGCAGAGTGAGTGGGAGAGGTCACAAAATCATCGCTCCTGAGATGTGTAACGTCCTGGTGGAAAGCAGCAGCGTGTGTCCTAGGGAGCGGCCAGGCTGAGAAGATGATGGAGGATGAGCAGAGCTGGACGATGAGAAGCTAGGAAGGCTTCTTCAGGCTTAGCAGTGCCGGGATGAAGCATGCTGGTGTCTGGGTTGGGGAGGACGACCACTCTGCTCCAACACCTTAAGCCCTGGTAGAAGCTGCGTGAAGGAGGAGAGTGAGGAGGTGTGGTGGGACTGGACCCTCGCTGCAGAATTGTAGTGGGCACATTACAGTCATCTCTAATTTCTGGCTTAAATTCCCTTACGCAGTTCCTCAAGCTTACATACTGCAAGGAGAGAGCTAGGTAATAGGCCAGACTTCCTCCACAGCTGCTGAAAACCCTTCCTATACATGCACAGCTGGGAGGGGTATGGCCAAACTCCCCCTAAACCTGTATTGCTCTCCTGACTTTAACAAAGTGCTATAGAGGAGTGTTTCAGGCTCCCAAGGAGAGCAGCAGTTTAACTTCGTGTCTAGCTGTGTGACTGGAGCTGTCTGGGGATCCTTAAAATGTATCATTTATACTTAAAATTTACCATTTATTAAAGTTAAGCTCACTGGTAAATGGAGTTCCTTGGCAGTTGCAGAGGCAACTAAATTGAGAAAATATTGAATTGGAAAGTGTGGCTTCAGCTAAAAGAAGAAATAGGGAAGAAAGAGGATATGCTGGAGGAACATCTTTTTTTTCTCTGCTGATGTAGGGAAGGGAAAACTATGTGTTTCCACCATTGTCACAGGCCAATAGAGACCTCTTCCCCAGGGAGAGTCAGCAGCCTGGGGCTCTGATGACTGAAAAGCTAGAGGATGCTGCCAGAAGCTGGGTATTGCCTAGTAAAGGCCAGCCAGAAAATAGGACTGCTAGGCTAAGGTGCTGTTTATTTCAATATAATTTCACTTTGTTGAGGTTCTCGTTTTGTTGGTCAAACCTGAACATCGCAACCTGATTTGCCTGAGGACTTGTTGCGGAGTGGCAAGGGTGAGGTTGCACCAGAGCACCTTACTCCAAAACTGTGATCAAACCTCACTGCTCAGCTGCTGTCAGAGACCGGCGTCACCTCATCTCATGGTGCGAAGAAGTGCCTCCGTAGGTGCCTGGGAAATTTGCGCTTGGCTTTTCTGCCTGCCTGAAATTCCCATGATATGAGTTTAAACAGCTCTTCCTCGGGCTAAGTGTCCTCTGCTTCCTAAAGCGATGGGGATACATGTGCTTTTGTCCAAAGTCTTTGAGGGATTTGAAAGGGTGGCACTGCTCAGACCGTGTCTAACGCACACCAACAGGAGCCGGTTCCCAGACCGAAACAGAGCTGGATGAAGCAGAAGTGGGGAGGGTGGTTGATTTGTTTTCAAAGCCCCCCCAGATGAGATAGCAGAGTCCTGCTCTATGGGATAGCCAACTGGAAGGGCTCCTCACCTATGCTGTTGGCCAGAGGAGCAGGAGCAGGCAGGTCCATTCATTCCCTTCCCAGCTTCAGGGGGTCCTGAAGACTCCCAGGAGCCACTGGTGCTACCAGTTACCCTGATAGAGATGCTGGTTTGTTGTCTGAAGTGCAACCTTCAGAACTGGGTGGCCTTGCAGTCCAGACCACTTGCTGGCTGTTGCAGCCCCATAATTTTCTGCGTCTCCCCTCTCTCTGTTCTTCCCAGCCCCTGAGCTACCTGGTCACCCCCTTGTCCAGGGAGACGACCTACTCGGATACTCACTCGTAGGGGAGTCGCACCCTGGACTGTGTTTGTGTAGATGTGGGTGAGAGCTAAAACCAAAGAGCTGCCGCTGCTTTCAGGGTCTGCTTTGAGACTTCTGGCAGGAGCAGCAGAAGAAAGGCCAGGCTGCTACTGGCAGGTTTAGGGAGGTGGCTTGGCCACCCCTGGAGCAGCAGGAGTCACCGAATGCTGGCTCGGGTTTGGGTTCAAGGAGAGCGTGTGTGGTACATCTGGGCAGCATGGGAACAGGGGAGGGAGGAAGGAAGCAGAGAACAATTTTTGCTAGCGGTCCTGGGCCATTTGGTTGTCTCCCTGGGATGACCGCAGCCTGTGTGCTTCCAGCTGAAGATCCCCGCAAGACTGGGGCCCTAAGCTCAGCTGCCCCTGCAGCTCCATCACCTCTTGAGAGAGTGCCACAGCCCTCCCATCACGAGGGAGCGATGGGAATGGCCTTTTACAATAAACAGCCACTTGGTATGCCACATACGTGCTCCAAGGAGCAGAGACCAAGGCTCAGCCCTCCCACGCCCAGCTCATCAGCAGTTTTACCTCTTCCATTTTTCTTAATGAGGTTAAACATTTGATCCTTTTATTTTTCCGCTCTGTAGTGGCATAGCTTCAGCAGGGGCAGGCTCTTGCCCCGCACAAGCGAGGAGCCTGATTTTTCACGTGTTCCACCAGGCAGTGGGAGATGGTGGGCTGGATGTCTCCAGGCTGAGGAGGGAATTGAGCCCACACCTCCCCTTCTAGCCACGTGAGTAGAAACCAAAACTGTTGGTGGATCTTACAAGGATGTCATGGACCTTAATCTGAAGGAATGGCCAAAGGTAGCCGTGTTCTTAGGGTGGATCCAAAGTGGACAGAGCCACCTCCGCTCTTCTGATAACCTTAGTGTTTCCTCTAGGTGAGCCTACACAGCTCGCTGCCATGCGCGCTGGCTGGTTTGCATCCACTCCTGAGGCTCCCAGTTCTCCCCATAAACATTTTCCCCACAGGGTCATAGATTTCAAGCCAGCAACCAAGTGGCTTAAAGCAGGTCACCGCAATGCCTCCTATTTAGGTGCCCAAATCCTCTGTTGAATCTCGCTCAGGACTTGTCTGAGCATCATGTCTGCACTTTCAGCAAATCTGTGTGAGAACCGCTTTCAAGAGAAGATGAGAAGTTCAGTCAAACCCAGGGGAAGCACGGTCAAAGTTTTTTTTCACTTTTCTCATTAGAAAATTCTACTATGGCTGTTTCTTTACTATCCAGGTTTTCCCATAAGTGCTCCATCTCAAACGTCTCTGGAGCAGCAGCAGAAGTAACATTTTTTCCGTTGCTGAAGGTCCTTTGTTGTGAAGTTGTCCCAGAATCTGTTAAAGGTGTTGCGGTGTCAGCATTTGACACTGTACTATGACTATGGAAGCTTGGTAAACTCCATCTCTGAAGGTTTCTCTCATGATCTGTTATGAAACCGGCTATGTTACTACCATGGGGTTCATGTCTGGGCTCCCCTATCACAGTAGGAAGTGACTGATGCACCTCAGAGCCTGGGAGGTGTGTAGTCATTTCTGGGGGGAAAAAAGGATGGTCCAGAAGAGTCACACTTGCCTCAGTTAGGCTCCTTTGGAGCATCTCTTCTGTCACGCTTGCAGCGCGCTCTGTTTGCAGATCTGGTTTGCCCAGCACATCAGCTGCTTTCTCGTTGGCTTCAGAGATGATGACCTCAGGAACTGGCTTGTTTGTCTCGGATGAGGTGTCACTGTCACCGAACTGTGCCTCGCTCCTTGAGGCTTCAGTTATGGGTCCTAGATCTCTGCTACTGTGAAGTCTGTTACTTCTGTCAAAGCCTTCATATTTCTTCTTGAAGCTGGAGGTGGAGTGTCTCCCTCTTGTGTGCATTTCCTGCAGCCGTCTGATGTGCCCCTTTTCGTCTGCTGGGAAAAACACCGAATTCTCACTTGTCTGACGACTGTAGCGGCGGTGAGGAGGGGACGAAGGGGCCTCATGGACGCTGAGAAATCTCTTGACTTTTCTCAGCACTGAACGTTGTCTTCGGTGTTTCTCCTCTTCCCACGGCCACTCCTCCCCATAGAGGAATTCGGTATCAGCCAGCCTGCCAAAAAAAGTCAGGTAGTAGGTGTCACTTATGTGTAGGAAGCATGTGGTCTGCATGCACATATATCCTTGCTGTCTCAGATGGAAGACATAGGAACCAAGGCCCTCGTGTGTCCCCAGGGAAGGGCATGGAAGGGGTGAAAAAAAGGGATGAGGGTGCCAAGAAACAGTGCCTGTGCCTTTGGACCAGCCAGAGCACACAAAAAGCTCTCCACATCCACGTGTCTCGTCTGGAGGACTGGGAGGGCATCCAGCCCCATTTCGTGTTTGGGCTGCAGCCCTCTACGGCAGCTCCACACATTAGGCTTGTGCTTAGGGTGAGGGAAAGGGGAGAAGGAAACCCTGCTCGGTGCTGTAGATACTTTTTCAGGAGAATCCTTTGGGCAAAAATAACAACAGTGAAAAAGCCACCCTTGGAAGCAGAGCGTGACCGTTTCAAAAAATGTTGGAATTACTCAGGTGGCCAAATCTCATGTACTTTTGGGGCACGACACTGTGTCTGAAAGTCCCACCTGTACCTGGTACTCTTCTGCCCAGCTTCGGTGGGTCATGAGAACAACTGTTGCTGTGTCTGCCAGGCAATCCAGGACACATTACTGACTCAGTGCATCCCAGAAGACAAGCCAAACTGGCCCAGTTACCTGTCCTAAGGGGAAGGATGGCAAAGGGGCTCGGGCCAAATCTGAGGTGACAAGCACAGGGAGGCAGCGCTAGCCTGGAAGGACAGAGGAACTACATCCAGCGTTTGTGAAGATCATAGAACAGTTTGGGTTGGAAGGGACCTTTAAAGATCGTCTAGTTCAACCCCCCTGCCATGAGCAGGGACATCTTCAACTGGATCAGGTTGCCCAGAGCCCCGTCCAGCCTGACCTGGAATGTTTGCAGGTTGGGGCATCGACCACCTCTCTGGGCAACCTCTGCCAGATGTTGGCTTGAGGGGACTGGAGAAGACTTTGGATTTGGGTTCAAGTTTTATATATTTGCTTTGGACTTGAATGAATCTTCAGACCTTATTTTTGAAGTCTGCATAAGAACGGTTTTTTTAGAGAGCTGAACAGAGAAAGAGTTCAGAAGAGAAAATAATTAATAAAAAAAGTCAACACATCAGAGCTGTTTGCATTTCACAGGGGCTAACATGGAGCTATTTTTCATTCACTCCCCCCTTCATTTCTTGTGTGAAGTGCTTATTAAAAAAATGTTTGCAGACTTAATAATGTTTCTTCTTTGCCACTTTTTTCCCCTAGCAATTGTGGTTTTTCTTCTTTACTTCTTTACTTTCTTCTTTACTTTTCTTTTGGCCATTTTATAGTTTTTCCAGAAGGAAATAAATTCTGAAAGGCTGTGTGTGATAAAAGGAGCTTATATAAATCATTGCTCTTTGTAGTAGAATGCATGCAAAAATGGAAAAATAAGAGGAATAAAATGAGAAAACACCAATTTCTGGGCCAAATGAAGCAAAAAATTAAGCTGATAGAGGCTGCAAAATTTTGGAAAAATCAAAAACTTCTTGAGATAAGTTTTAAAGTTAAAGAAATGGCTATAAAGTTTTAAAAAAAATTTTCAGATAAAAACATCTACTTGCCCTGGTATTTGTTCAGACATGGTGGTATTTAGTGAGATCTTACTGACCTGTTCTACATTACAGCATGTCACAAGTGTTTAAACTCAACAGCTTCTAAGCTAACTGGCTTATCACTGATTTCTCATATAGATCCTGAGAACATGGGACAATCCTATATCCTCCATATATTTCTTTATAACAATGGTTCTTGTGTTGATCTCTGCAAAGAACTCCTCTTCTTTATCCCTTCACAAAATCTGACTGCTCCAACTTCCATGCCTAGATTATTAGTCAATGAAAAGTCATACGACGTTTAAGATCAATTCTTGTTTACCTCTGCAAAAATCTGGACTGATTTTAGCCATTATCTGCTAACTAAACAAGCAAAGGAATAGCTATTTTGCTAACTGGGGGATGTATGAAGAAGCTGTAATAAATAAAGAATTATTAAGAAAAGTCAGCCACTGTCTTCAGGTGCCATCCTGTGCTCAGAGACTATCAACAACCCCCCCTGCAAACATACTCTATTTATTAATTATACAGCTTCAGCTATGGGTGCACAATTTGTAGGAGCACATGGGCCACTGAAGGCATCATCCCACCAACACCAGCCTGTCCAGTCCCTCCTAACATCATTTCCCTTTTCCACCTTCCCTCTCACAGTATCGTCACAGCCTGCAGCCCTGCACCGACTGTCCGTCAATCAACGTGGGCTGTAGGCATGGTGATCTTTCTGATGGCATTAAGGACCCTTAGTGCCACTCACCCCATTTCAATCGTTGATCCAAGAAATGAAGGAATACAGTAATCAGCAGCTGCTTTTGTGTAGGGTGGCCGGGCAGAGGAATCGTTCCAGTAAATGTCTCTCTCTATCCTTGGTAAGTTCATGTGCATCTCGTCCACCGCCAGAAGTGAGACCTTAGATTTTTTTGGTATAAATCATGTCACTTTCAACATAGTACAGTATACAAAATAATCTGCTTTGTAAACCCTGGGTCAACATTTCTTTCGGAAACCCTTCAAAGTAAGCTGTGTATGCTGGCCTGGGCATTGGGAAGAGACTCAGTATTATAAAATATACCCCCGATACCCTCCTATACTAATGAAAAGCATAAATTTTATTGTAACTTGAGTCTTCTATATGCTGCAAAGATATTTGCATCAGATTGAAGTCCTTTCCTCACGCACGATGTAGTTAAATGGACATGTGATCTTCCACGTGCTATGGGAAGTCTGTGTAGAGTACTAGATGCGCTTCTTAAAATGTCCAGAGGTTGAGAAGCTTTCTGATAGGCTTCGCCCACATTTTAAGACATTCAGAACCAAGTAGGTGACCATCCTGTTCTAGGGCCTTCCGATATATTTTATACAAAGGGCTCTGAGGCACCGTAGCATGAGTAGCCCGAAGTGGTGTTAAGCCAGAGAGCATCTTTGGCAGCGTGAAGGTTTTTCCCACTCCTGCGCGTACCTGCATTGCTTGCTTTGCTTAATAAGCTGGTTTGCTCGCCCTGCCCTTGCTCCCTCTAATACTGGGGCTCTGCTTTGCGGTCTCAGTGGTCCCCAGCAGACGTGGGGTCCGACAGCAGCTCGACCCTCCGCTTGGCTCTACCTGCAAGGGGAGCGGCGGGTGCCACGGGACTTCTCCATGTCTTTGGGTCCTTCGTGGCACGACAGACAGGGGCCGGTTGGAAACCACACTAGATCCGTACCCTGGCCATCTCACAGCTCCTGCCACTGGGGATGCTGGCTCCTGCGCCGACCAGATGCTGCCGCCCACAGCAGCATCACAACATGAGTCACGGTTATTAGTTCAGGGCCCTGCTTGGTCTTTTTGGTATCTTCACTGCCTTTTTTTTTTTTTTTTTTTAAAGGGGGGTTCATATACAATTTTGTAATCTCTAGACATTCAGATTAGCGAAATGTGTCCTTATCTATGTGGGAATAGATGGCTTTTGGATTTTGCAGGATTGACCTACATTACGTGTTTTTCCAGCATAAAGTGAGCTTATAGTTTGAGGTCAGCTGCTTGCATGTTTAGTCAGGCATCATAAATGCCAAATACCAAAATCAAGATGCATTAGCTTGTAAAAACAAAATCTGGGGATCACAGCCACAGGTACTCCTTCAGGGCAAGAATTTGTTTTGCTGACACTTGTTGCCCTTAATTTGTACCTCAGTGTAAGAAATAGCATTAAATGTAATGATAACCTATGGTACAGTAAAGCTGGAAGTAGAAATAACAACAGCAACCTGTAAATTTCTATCGATGCACCAGTTAGTTTCAAAATCATCATCGTCTTCTCCAAATGGATTAATAAGCTGTTCAGCAACCTGAAAGGAAAATGAGACAGTGAATAGAGGTTGGCATGCCATGTCAGGACTGCTGCCGCAGAGAAAATAGGATCGGATTTTTCTCTCTCTCCCTGCCTGTCACTTGCAATCATAGCTTGAGCTCCCGTATGATGGTTTTGCCAGCCTAGCCAAGGAACAGCTTGCTTTCCCTATAGATTCATACCTCCATGCCTCATTGGCGCTGCCAATCATGATTGTCAGTGCTGGCCTGCTGGGAATTGAGACATGTCTGGGCCATGGTAATTGTCACATAAGATAGTCATTACCTTTCCTTACTGTTGTCTTTGGCTGATTTAAATGAACAGTTTACCAGCTAGAGGCTCTGTAATTGCATTATAGTCTACGATATTCCACCAGTTCATTGGGTCAGTATCCCGGTCCCTGCGGCTGGAGTCTGGAAGAGGGAGTACAGCTCGTCTCTCCAGTTCAACCCTCAGCCCCTGCTTCATTATTGGGGGTGATGCTGATGGCAGCCCTCTGGAGCTTTTCACAAAACCAGCCCACCAAAAAACTTGACTCAAGTGGATGCCGTGCATCATGCTAGCCAAAGCCAAGAGTCGGGATCTGAGTTTGTTCTTTAATTCAGCCTGCTGTTTTGGGTTTCTGGGCATGAAATGATTAAAACTGCAGGGGAGAAGCCCATCCCGTGGAAGAGACAACCAGTGAGCTCAGGCACCTTTGTGGTGAGGTGCCTTAGTCTGGGAACTAGGATGGGAAAGGAAACCTCTCCGGCTGCCCAGAGCCTTATCTAGTCCTGCCCTCCCCCAAGGAATAAATAAATGGAAAAACAACCAGACACTGGCCCCCCATCCCCATGATCACCAAAGTACATTGTGGGGAGGAAACTCATAGCTGCTGGGGGAGAAAAAAAAGATGAAACAGGAAAATTAAAAAAAAAAAAGAAAAAGTTTTAGGCAATTCAGACTGCTTCTCTATTTCTCAGTTTCTTGGGACACTGAGGTTAAATATCCTCACCCCTTCATGCTTTTCTCTTTCTGTTTGTCTTTTTAAGCCCTGGTTTTGAAGCCGATCACATTCTTGCTGACCTCCCAAGCCATCCTGGTAGTCACCAGGGCCATGCACAGTAGCAGTGGCCAGGTCCTCGGTTTAACGTGGATATGGGTGAAGCAACTATACAATTAAACAGCCCTGCTGTGGATGGCTATGATCTAAATAACTTATAATAGTAAGGCAGTCACTCCCTGGCTATTTATTCCTATGTGCCTCTAGGTCGTACCAGTCAGCACTCGCTGACTCTCTTGGCCACCTCTTCCCAGGCCAGCGGTGGAAGACAACAAATAAACTGCTGAGCAGACTAACACAACAAAAAAAATGCATAAGGCAGGAGGAACAAAAAGGAGACAGGGGACAGCTCTGCTCACACTCATTGGCCTGGCCCGTGGCACTAAATTTTGGGTATAGCTACGGAAGTGCTGCAATAGGAATGATCCAGACTGCGTTGCGGCTCTCCAGGGAAGACAGTGGATCAACCTGGTGTAAACTAGGGGATCACTGCCCCAAAATCCACTGCAAAACCTGTCACGTGAGCTAGAAAAAGTGAGCAGGACTGGGACAGAGGGAACAGCAGCGGTGGCCTTTGCTTGGCTGACCTGGTCCTGGCACGTGAGACACGGCTTTATTCTCTGGAAAGGAATTTATTGCTGGACAACTAAGCCCTGTATTTGGACGGTCCATCTATCTCCATAATGAAAATGGGGATTTAGAAGCGTCTCACGTGATGGGAAACTTTGCCCCTGTATTGTAGGTATAACAAACCAGGCCCGAGGCCAAGGAATGAGCTCAGTTTAGCCATCATTTCTGAGGAATTGCCAAGTTACTGGAAGTCAATAGCTCAGGGCCCTTTCTGCAGCCTGGCAGCCAAAGCCCAATGCACTCAGCAGGAAACCGGCTGTAACCTTCAAGACAGAAATATCCTGACTCGGGGGCACTGCAGGTTTGGACAAACCTCCGGTCCGAGGGAGCGCTGCCAATATTAAATTTGCTTTTTCAAACTGCTTCTCCCCTCTTTCATTTCCTTATGCAGAAGATTTTTCAGTTACAATGCCATCCCCTACCTGCCGTAGCCAGGAGTTGGCTGGAAGCCCTGAGCCCGACTGGGAGAGATGCTACTAACAGCCTTGGGTGCCGATGAAGGGGAAACCATTCCCCCATTCACGGACGCCAGCAGGGTGGTCAAGAGGAACAGCTTACGGTTTTGTAACCCGCTAGTAAAACCCCGGGAGACATTGCCTAGAGATAAAGCCTCACATTTCTGTGGGAGCAACGTGCTCCCCCCGCCGCACCAGCATCCCTTCCCCTCTCTCCCGCTCCCCTCCAGGCTGGTCCCTACGGGGCAAACCCCCTTTCCCCCCCAATTTCCTAGGACGCAGGACTAGAGGAGCTTGCCCTGCAGGCACTTAACTTTCCCCCGCAATCCGCCAGCTCAGTGTGCTGCCTTCCCTCCTCTGCCCTTTGGAGTTGGCCGTGGGAGGGGGGCTCTGAAACTGGCCAATTTTGTGCAATTTATATTCTAACAGAAAAGTTAGCTCAAAGTTTCCAGCCATGGTTAATAATCCCAAAAGGAAATCTTAATGCACATAGGCCCTAATGTACCAATTTGCTTTTTATTTGAAACTTTTTTTCCAGTTAGTTCTCATACTCACTGCATAGGAGAGAATCGCCGTGAGGTACGTGGCTCGATTACTCAACTATCAGATTGATGGCGGTACGTTAACTGAGCAGGCATCGATGGGCTGATGGGTAGCGTCTAATTCCTTCTATAACTCTTCTTGTTAATGAATGTTTTTATGCGGTGGAGTTGTAGCCAATATTGGCTGTCACTGTTTGATAGCCCTCTGGAACTGGAGACCTTTAATTGCCTGCATCTGATTAAGTTAAGAGCAGATACTAAAGGCTGGCTTCAATCATAGGAAGAAAGTATGATTCAGACCCTTTCAGCCCATGCCAGATCTGCAGCAGTATTTCCCCATCGCACAGCGGAGTGGGAGAAGGGTGGGGTTTTTTTTAATTTTTCATCTGTCATTTTATAGTCCAAGTCCTGGGACCTGATTTTGCTGGTGTAATACTCCCTTGGGGAGTTGTGGCTGCACTGGTCCTACTAAAATGAGCTCTTTCAGATTCCCAATCATTTCTTACTGTAAGATCTGTCAGGTGGAGTTAAAAATGTATTGCATGATGTTTCTTTATGACCACAGGACACTTTGGGCTGAATTCAGCTTTGGTGTAACTCCATTAATCTTCAGTGATTTTACAGTGTGCCACAAATCTGACACCTCGACTTCAGCTCTGACACCTTCACCAGCTCCCTAGGGAGGGTTCCCCCATGACCTTTCCAGAAAGCTAGTTTACCTTGAGCCATCCGGCGTAGAAGAAGAACTGTAACAGTGTGAAGATTGGAATGTAAAGATCTAAGTCATGTCCCTGATACCCTTGGTCAGTATCCAAAAATTGGCGCCCTATCAGGCAGGCAAAGAAAAAAGTATAGACTGCAAGAGTAACAACCTGCAAAGAACAAAACTTCATTGAAATCATGCAATAATACAAACTTATGCATAAGGCAACACATACCCAAAGGCCTCTGACTGCCTTTTGCCATACAATTTACAAATCTGTAGGGAGGTATTACAAATAGAGAGGCCCCAGGCATAATTATAGCCAGGAAGAAGACCCAGGAAACATAAAAACATTTCAGTGCTTTGCTCCCCTCTCCCAAATTATGCAAGGCCTTCAAAACATCTCCACATTAAACATGACTTAGTTAGCCAGGTGTCCATGATCCCATGGGAGTCAATGGGTGCTCAACAGCTCGGCGACTCTGGTCGAGTCTATGGATGTTCTGCACCAAGCTCCCCTTTCATGGAAATTGTGTTTCGAATTTTGTAAAGGATAATAGCTCAGTACCTGGGTATAGACCAGTGGAATTCCAACCCAGTCATAACCAAACAGAAGACTACACCAAGACCGGTACTTATTCATCTCCTAAAAGGAAAAAAAAAAAAAAAAAACAAACGCCAACAAACTAAAATTGCAGGGGCCTCAATTCCAAATTATAAATATTTTGTTACAGTTTGGTTCTGCACATACAAAAGGACAGGGAGGTATGAAAGTGTAGTATATATAAATATATATTGATACCATAACTATATCCAGCATCCCATTGTCATATTTGGATATTCACTTAGTTTATGGAGTTGGAATGCTTAGTGTATTATGTATTTCTTCACAAATTATCTTTTGTTTCTATCATATCCACTGTCTAGTGATACATGAAAGAGAATATATTATATCATAAAAAGGATGTTTGACCACTTAATGAAATATTCAGGGAGATTATCTTCCCTGAAACTGATATTAAAATCTTCAAAATGACAAATTATTCTCATTTTTTCCCCTGCAGCAATAGAACAAGTATGAATTTACAGTCATGTTACAATAATTTTTTACTCATCAATTTGTTGCTTCGGTTAATACCTTCTTAGTTATATAAATACAATCCCAGCAAACTGCTGCTGTGTGTGCTTGAGTGTACACTGGTACACAGAGAGAAGTATAAATCCTGAGTAAGATCACTTAGATGACACTGGAAAGCTGTGCGCACTAAATCAAATTATGTAAGTGAAAAGCTACCACATAGCAATTTCAGATTAGTTTTCTCTAGATTTACTTTTTCTACTTACGTTCATCAGTGTCTGCAGATCCACACTGTCTCGAATTCTTCCTTCTTTTCGTGCCTTCGATGCCAAATTTCCAAACCAGACAAATGGAACCCAGTATTTCAGGTGGGGAGACTTAAGGTCATCAAAAATTTTTCTTTCATATCTTGTCATGAAACCTGTTTACCCCCCCCAAAAAAAAGACTTCATTTATTCTGTGCTTTCAGTGCTATTGATACTATAAATTTTGAATATGTTTGAATCTGTTTATGTGACATTTGCATAGAACTATGCAAAACACTATTTATAATTCTAACTAGTAGCCTCCTCCTTTTTTTTTGAGCTGCTTTGCCAGGATAGATCTTGCTTGAAACAACTTCTTTTTGCAGTAACTACCTACACAAAATGCCTCTTGATCAATATATGGAATAATTTGCTATTACTGTGTTCTCCTATCTGACCACTGACATATTGTAAATACAGATGATACTAAGAATTGTACGGATTACTCTCTAGTTTCATTCTACTTTCAGAAAAATAAGGAACTGGATATGTCAGTTAAGAAACTATCACTTTTCAGCAATGATGGCTTTGAGCAGCATCTCAGCGTATGTTGTAAGGGCAGTTATGCGACCTGATTCTGATAAATTTTTGGTAAATCTGCAAAGTGGTGAGCAAGCAACAGAGGATAGAAGTGCATGCACGAAACAGAGCTCAACAGAGAGCGTGCCTTCTGCCAGCGAAACGCTTCCCTGCCAGATTGAATTTCATGTTTTCTTCGGGGTTACGAAGGCGTGCAAAGCGATGGAAAAGGAATCGCGCCCAGAAATCCCGCTGCTAGCGGGACACCGGGCCAAGACGACGTGCTGCGGGGCTGCAGGTTGAAGCCGCTCTCTGCTTGGCAATTTGCCTCGGTGGGGCGCCGGGAAGGTATTAGGGTTTCTGCAGAGTTCCCCGCGCCTCGTGAAGCCCCGCTTCTCCCTGCGGCGAGCAAATCCGAGGTCAGCTAAGCGCGGGAGCCGGGGCTGCGTGCGATGAAACCTGCAGCAGAGCAGCTCGCTGCCTGGGGCTGGCACGGGAGCAGCTGCGTTTTGGAGCAACACCTCCACCCCCTTGGGTAAGAAAGCTCTGCTGTCCTCCTTCCACCCAGCCTTTGAGAAAAACAACCTCGGAAAATTCACAAGGAGGAGCTTCACGTTTTTCTTTGTCCGAATCCTGGATTTTCTGGGATGGGAGCAATCTGCAGCTTTGAAGGATCTTAGTTTTTTGCTCAGGTTGTGTCACCTACCAGGGTGGGTATAAGGCTTCTTTCGCTGTGTTGACATTAGCTCCGAAACAGGACAAAGTTAGTGACATGGCAGCCCCAAAATAAATGGCTCAGCCAATCTAATGCAAGTTTGAGTGCTGAAAATTCAATAAGGGAATTGAGAGTAGACAGGATTTTTTTTCTAGTCTCCAACTAGTAACTAAGGATTGGCCCGTTGTTGCTAACATTGCTAAAGATACATGAAGCAGCAAAAAAATAAATACAGCAAAAACTCAGTTGTGTTTTGTACAAAAATGTGAATAAGGTAAAACGAGATTTGTTAAACACAGCAACCTTCTTAAATATTCTGTTCTTGAGGAAAATGCCACTCTTGTACAGTTGCAACAAGTCAACACAGGAGGTATGAAATACTGCAGCTACCGACAAGGAACGCAAGGACAGGACAGAAAATTCTGTGGAAGAGGAAAAGTTCAGCAGCACGACACAGTACTCCTGCAGTATCCTGGAATTTGAGAACAGACTAAGACATAGCTTTTAAAAGGTCCCTGGGCAGTTTGCAGCCAGGTCTCATAATCTACTGCACAGAAATAATCAGGGAACCAGACAAATTGACCTGCTAGTCATGACTCCTGACTCCTAAAAGTCAGTCTTTCGGGCTGTCTTTGATTTTTGGCTGGCCAGCCTGCTCATTACGGAACAGGAAAAGCTGTTTCTATCAGGCTGAAACAGACAGACAGAATAGCAGAAAATTGACAGTCTGGAGTAAACACTGGATGCGAGTCACTTGGGAGGTGCTGGGAAGTCATTATCTGGAAGGACACAGCCTGAGGGGGTCACGACAAACAGCAAAGCTCCAAGGATCAGTTCAGCTCTCCACTGAAACTGGGTACCTTTTTGTTCAGAAAAGCTCAACAAAGCCTTGTTCTTTTAACAGCAACATTCAAATTGCCATTATTTTTAAAGTTAAGGTGTTCATGTTTATATTAATTAAGTATTCTCTTTGGTGGATATTAAGAATGACTAGTATTCTTCTCACAGAAAATATTAAACAAGTCGGGATTGCTCTTACTGCTGGTGAAGGTTATGGCAACAACATGAATTTCAGAAGCGCTTACTGTTATTGCAGTGGTAAAGAAACACTTTATATTCCATCAAATACAAGGAAGGATATCAAACCTCAGTTATTAAAATGAAATGGTTTCTAAATATGGCCATACTATTTTTATTCAAGAGTATTCGGAGAATTAACTGAGGAGCTCTCTGAACAAGAACACTGGTTTTGACAAGCACTGGAAGACTGGAGCAGCTCCAGAAAACTGGAAATATTTGGCAAATACTGTGCCAAGATCTTGAAAAGGATGATCTAAGGAATCACAGGGCACTGAATCCTTGTGAAAGTATGAGAAGCTTGACATGGCATGCAATCAATAAAGAATCAAAGGACACTAATGTGAACAGTGTCAGCCAAAGTGATCTTACGGGGAAATTACTGATGAGAACACAAGCCTGGCTGGAAAAAGTCACTCATGCTCTCCCTCAAGTGCTTCGAAGAGTATTCAGTTCTCCTGTCAAAACCGAATGGTTTGAGACAAGACTGGTTCAGGGTACCCACATCAAATACTCTGAAGACGAGCGGTTAAAGAAGAAGGAACTGAATGGCAGTTGTCTGCCACATCTCCAGAGTGCGCTAACAATGATCAAGTAGATGAAAGTTTCACTTTCTGCTTCTGTGTTATATGGGAAAGAATTAATCTAGGTACTTCATTCCAGTAGAGGGTTTGGGACTGCAAACTTCAGCTGTCTGTACGTATTTGTGTCATTGGGCTCACACCTCATGTTTCTCTTCAGCATTTACTATCAGCTGTTTTGGGCTGCTCTCCGCCCAGCTGCTGATTCACTACTCATGTTTTTTAAGACTTGTGTTCTTGAGCATCCAACTTCCCTCTTGCAGCTTGCAGCCAACAGGATGATTGGTACGCTCAGGACTGCTGCTAGGCATTTGACACTTACGGCATACGTGCCGCAGTACTTAGCATCATAATGTTATGAATCTACATGCCTCTACTGCCTACAGCTCCATAAAGAACGCTAAAAAATGAAAAAGAGTTTAGAAAACAGTTAGGAGGAAGGTCCAGCACTGAAGACCATCCACTACAGAAGGTGAAACTCCTAAGTTCATTCAAGCCTTTATGCACTCTGCTAACAGGTAGCTATTGAGACAAAACTGTGTTTTCATCTAATTAAGAGAAGAATAACCCAACCCCATTACAAAATCCTGTGACTAGAAGATGACTCTGTGCAAGTTCGGAATGAGAATAAAATTCTACTTTTCAAAAGCGAGTTCACCCTTGTGAATGTCAGTTCACCTAGGCTGTGAGGTACTCTCCATTATACCCAGCTGAATTTTAAATCAGGGCTGGTTATATTCCTAGAAGGTATCATAGCTCAGTCAGAAATTGTACCATGATAAAGGATGTTGTGAGTAAGCTTTTATGCCTTGTGTTACGGATGAGTCAGGCTAGATTGTCATGATACTGTTCTCAGATTTAAAATCTATGAATTTAAGCAGTTAATCTGCTGAAAAGGGAAATGCATAGCAATAGTTATGCTGTGGCAGTTCTCAGTTTGATAGCGAAATGCAAAATCGGCACAAGTTGTTTCAGTGATGACCGCGCTGTAAGTATTAGATTCTGCCGCTCACGTTCATATTAAATGTTGCACTCCCATGCAGTCTGATATGTAATGCCATAGGGAGCTAGGGAGTGGATAATTGCGGAGGACTGTCTTAATCACTGGATGTTAATAGGAGCAAGATATATCCTTAAGTGCTCAGTACTGCATCAACTAAAATTCTGTGGCACAATAGGTATTAAAACCTACAGAATAAGTACTGAAATCCACAGAGCTGACTACACTATCAATAATTAGTTATACAGTTTATAGTAGAATATTTTCCACTGTTAAAAAAACCCAAACAACCAAAACTTGTTTTCCAGTCTACAATTTTTGTACAACGCTGTGACATTTTGTCTCTTCTGGAACAGATTGTCTTTAGCAATAGGGAGGCAGAGCTGGATTAGCCTGCTGGAAACGTTGTAATTTTCCAGTGCGTACTAGAAGCAGATTGCTGGGGAGAGTGACAGAAGCTTCCTTGACCTCTCACAGGCTCAGGTAAACAGTTTTGTTGAACAGCATGAGGAAGAGAACTTCAAAATCCAACTGAATCCAACATAAATGATTTCTTTCAGTAAGATCAGTGCATTCTGCCTGGATTTTTTGTAATATCCAAAGCTTCTCACACATATTTGAAAAGTGTATATGGATATACACACTGCATATTTTAACTTGCTACAACTTTGCTTACTAATCTCTGCCAAAGGAATAATTTTAAGAAATGCAAGACGTTCAGTAAAAAATGTGTGACTTCTCTTATTTGGAATAGATCCCCACATCTTGGCGCTGGTGTTCTACCCCTGACTCTGACCGAGCTGGTCAGAAGGCATGGCATCACACCTTGCCTTTAAATACTCAGCAGTCAGTCCTCCATAGACAAGCAAAGCCTTACGTGGTTGAACTCTCTTCCCCATCATCACACTCACTGTGTTATCAAAACAAACAGAAAATAAAGACATGCTTAATACTCAGTCAATTTATCCCTGAAAAACCAAGCTTAAGGTGAAGTTGTAAATTTAAAGAAAATACCCTTGGGGTTGAGGGTTTTCAAGTATGTCACAATAAATCTCTGACCTATGCAATCTACTTACAAACCATTGAGATAAAGCTGTACTTGTGAAGTGCCTGCGGAGACCAGTCTCTGATACTCAAGACAAGGTCACATCCTAGACATCGAGGCAATGCCGTATAACAAGTCACCATCACGACTGCATCATACTATAGAGCAACTACGTTATTTTTCATGTTTTGGAGAATGTTGTACCTGCTCTGTACGCCTGTGTGCTCGGGGCAGGCCTATGGCCTCCAGCATGTCTGAGAGCAGATCCATGTAAGAGCATCAAACTCATTTGTTTTCTATAGAGTTGCTCGATGAAGACTTTAAGAGCATTAAAGGCGCACGCTTAAGGGCACGTCATTTAAGCCACTGACAAAAACGTGGTAGCCTTGCCACTGGTTAGTATAACGCACACATGGGGACAAAGAGGAAAGAAAAAATGTCTGGCTCCTTCCCTCCCTGTGCCCCCACCTCTGAAGGAAAGGAAAGACATTTTTGGGGAGAAGGACTTGGCAGTACCTGCTCCTACCACATGGTCCATGGTGGGAAACCTTTTGTACACAGCTGTGCTCACAGAGCGAAAGATCAGCAGAGATGTTAAATTCACGTAACGCATGAGAGTCCTCCTTAACAAGCGCCCATATTCATCTCTGCCCTGGACACAGCTAGAGATGAGGAACATCAGTCGATCGGGCCACGGCAAGTTCACAAACTGGTTCCACCAGCGATTCACCACCAAAGTAACGTAGAAACCTGGGGGTTAGAAGGAAAAAAAGAAAAAAGCCCAGTGCCTATCAGGATTTCTGTTTAGGTTACTTTGATTTAGTTTGCAGAGTGTTATTCGTATCGCTAAACTGCTACGTTTCCCCAAATAAATGCAGAAAGTCACATCAAAACACAGGATGCAATCAATCTTAATTATTTAATAGACACTGCAACTTAATGGCCCGTTCCAGCTGAGTATCTCATATTCATGAACTTCCAAATTTCCTCTTCTGTAGTAAACCTTTTTAGTGCTTTGAAAGATCCGGCACAATGTATCAGTGTTACTGGGCTCTCTCTCTATATGTATACATATGGAAACTTTACTCTTTTGGTGGAATATTAAGAACATGAGCATAAATGCTGATGTGACAAAAGCAACTCAAATTTAAGGAGACCTGTTGGAAGCTGATGATTTTTATTGTGAGCCTTTAACCTCCCATATGCCCCTCGGCTCTGAAATGCTTCCATGCATGGACAGTCACAAAATGCCTGAACAGAGACAGCGTTGGAGAATAATTTCACATTGAACTGGTACTTACCAAGCACAAAAGTTACCGGGATTTGTTCAGCATATTTGTCACAGTAAATTGATAATTTTTCAAAGAACCGTTTTTGGCTACCTGTAAGAAAAAATCTGCAGCAAAAATAAAATGTATCTGTCCTTTCATAATATTCTGGGACTATCTACAAAGTGCAAATATGTATAAATAATCAGGTATGTGCAACCGGGAGCAACCTTGGCTAATATCTTAAAGGTAAGTTCTTAAAGGTAAAGTGCTGAACACTTCTGGCATGTAATAAGGAAGCTGGAGGAGAACACAATATTATTCCCTGGTCTTTGCAGTTTTCTCGTGACTAATTTGACTGGTACTACTAATTAGGATCAATACACCTGGAGAATTAGCTTGCTATCCCATACAGACCAACGATGATATTAAGCCCTAAGACTGCAAGTAGAGCTTGCTCTCATTTTTCAGAGGGCTACAGAATAAAAATGCTCAGGTTGGCTTGAATTGCAAAAGGTTACCAATCTCTAATTGCTCTTATTTGAAAATGCTACATTGTTGTGGCAGTTTTTACTCTTACTCCTACAAAATTTCTCTTTTCCACAAGATTAAAACCACAACCACCGTATTTACTTTGCAGTGAGGAAAATATTCACCAGATGATAGAAAATGAATGGAGCATGGCAGCTTCTGCCCATGGAGAAAGATATCTAATGAAATACAACAAGCTTAAATATAAACAATTATTTTATTTGTATAGAAGAGTATTACAGTTATTCTTTGATTTCCTATAAAAGGAGCACATGACAAATATTTGGTGGGTTTTGCCTACAATCATGCAATAACACCTGCAGTATATATATAGAAGGTTTTCCATGGTGTATTTACCACGGTCTTTAATTGCCTAACATTTCAGTAAAACTAGATTTTTTTAAATAAATGTGAGACTGTGGTGTTTCTTTACATATTAATCCTGTAATCTTCTTTCCAAGTTTACAGGTATAGATTACTGAACATTTTGGAAAATTAATGATTAATCACAGACAAACTGAAGCTCGTTTTCTCCTTGCTTCACAAAAAAGCAAACACCAAGGTTCCAATTAGAGATCAAGGTAAGAGCTGATCCATGATTTTGATACTTGTGTAGTGTACTTCCTCAATTAAAAGCTTCACTGTACTAATTGATGGATTGCATCTGTCTTTTGGGTGTTTAACTCACACCTTGGTGGAAGAAGCAACTCTCCTAACGTGACCCTCCCAGGTGCTGGGTGACACACAGGTAATAACCACAGCTGGCTTCCATGCAGTTTTCTTGGCCCTCTGCAAGCTTAAAAATAAAGTTTGCGATGCCGTCCTAGCTTTAAGCAAAACTTTGCTTTTCCTGACTATATAACCTGACTCACAAATTATTACCTTTCAGGGTTGTTAAAGAAATTACCACTAAGCAACTGAAGACACAGTTCTGCAAGTAGAATGGAAGGTCTATACTTATCATTTAAAGCAGAGAGGCATGCTCGCTGCCACCAGCTTGATGTCAGAATGATAAAAGCTATATAACATAGGCTAGCTACGGGTGTTTATTTAGCCTAACGGTTGCTCAATGCTAGGCTGAAAGCAGAATCAGCTGAATACAATAGACAGTTTCTTATTTATAGCCTACCTGCTTTCTCTGGAACATTAAAGTAAACATGGAAAGGAAAGGACATTAGAAAAGGTCCAAGGAAAAGACAATAATTATGTAGTAGCCTCCCCCCCAACCGTCATTCATCAGCCTAACACCGTGAAGTCTGTGAAACTTCAGTATAACATTTAATGAGATGTGAATTGGAAAGAGTGTACCTGTATAATACACTTATCGCTGTGTAAAGAGTAGCAAAAACAATAAATTCTCTGTACAGTAATTTGTAGATGCTGCCTTTCCACTTTAGGAGTAATCTGTGAAATCCAAAGAAAGTGGCATTTGCTACTTTGCTGGAATAAGTGACTGTCATCGTCTTGGCAGGCTGTGCCTAGAAACAGTAGAAGAGAAGCAGGAAACCAACAACATTTTAGACAGGGTGTTCTAACCTGAATGCACCCTCGTATAGCTAGATACAGACACATATACACTCACATAAACACATATAATAGTATATGTATACATAAATACATGCTGTCTGTATTTATATATAGAGAGAGAGACAAACTGAAAATTCTTGCCGTTACAAGCCCCCTTGAGACCTGCAGACTGACTGATGCAAGGCTGTACTCGGGCTTTACCTCAAACACCCCCCAAAGCCACAGCCAGCACCGAATGTGGCCGCCTGCCCGGGTGGCAGCGGCAGGGACACGTTACTCCTCTGAAGCCTCTGCTTACTCCCAGTTTGCTCCAGTCCGGTATGAGCAAAGAAAAGGAAGTAAATTTACTTGAAATTTTTTTCCAACCTTTGTCAGCACTCCAGCAAGAGAGGTAAAGCTAAATTCCACAAATGCACCTTCCTCCCCAGCCGGTATTTTTAGCTAGCTTTGGTAATTATACTCATCTAAAACCAAATGAGATTTGGAGACTGCCTCTTTCATTAACGGTTACGACAGCAGCTGAGATGAGCTGGGGAACCCTGTTATTTCTCGGCTTGGCAGCTAGACCTACTCATCAATACTTCAGCATTGCATGGCCATGAAAAAAAAGCCATAGGGTTGCTCAGGTAGGCAGCGTGCGACACAGTGCAATTAAAGCAGTACTAAAAGTATACAGATAAATATTTTACGCTGGGTTTGTTACTTGCTTACCCAGTGTAGGGAGATGCTACAGGAACTTTTATGTGCTTACAAAAAACCCCTAACTCCAAATGTGGATGAAAGCAGTTTCGTACAGCGTGCAAGGAAGGGAGTAACTAAGACAAGCACAAAGCCTCAGGGTAGTTATTGTGTATCATAAATATGATTCTTGTCTATACTTTCTTGGTGCCACTGTAGGTCATTCACTCTCAGGAAAAAAATCTGAACCCCTAGTTAATAGATGGCTTGATAGTATTTTATGCAACTTGGCTGCATCTCTGATGCAGAGCATAATGTAAGCCATTAAAATTCAGCTGTAAAAGTGCCACTTTTTCTTTTAGTCACCAAGGGAATCAGCAGGGAAAAGGCACCATAAGCCTTCTATTGCTGACAGACTGTCTCTTCTCGTCTGCAGATAGGCTGCTCAAGGTTTGCCAGCGTGGGCTTGGAGGGTTTTTTTGTGTTATTGTTTTTTTTAAGATGCATGGGTTTTATTCTTTAGCATCCAAATGATAGTTTTCCTGTTTCTGAGACTTGGCATAGGCCTTTACATTTTTTGTTGTCGTTGTTGAACTCCAGAAAGTTCAATTCAGGAGCCAAACTGTTTGACTGGCATGCAGAAATGCAGTCCTGTCTGCTAAAAAGGCTGTGGTCAGGATGCAACGCTTAAGAAAATGAAAGCAGAGATTTCCATTCTCCAGCAGATATGAGGCTTTGTAAACAATAGGAGAAGCCTGTGGCTGGGCTATAGGGGAGGAATAGGGTAAAAAAATACCCTTTACAATGTACTGAGTTTCCTGGGATTGCTGTAAAAGGCTTTAGTTAGTCCCTGCCCATTAATGCTAGGGAGTGCCTATGTTCAAGTCATATGGTCAAGAAGTGTCTATCATCTCCCCACTAATACCCAACTTGCAAAGGAAAACTCCAGTGGGACTGCCTGTGTGCGAGGACTTACATATAAAAAAGATATTGGATAATGTGAGGGCTTATAGCCTGACGGGAACCCAGACCCCCAGCATAGCATGGTGCATCGATTGGAAGATGAAGTTAGACAAATGCAGTCTGAAGTAAAACATAAATTGCTAACTGTGGGGGCAACAAATATTGAAACAGGGGAGTGGATAGACGCCCTGGGGTTTGGATCTTTAAGCTGAGAGCACACAGACAAAAGATGACCTCTGGGGAGCATTCACATAGCTGGGACATACAGGGTCAGGGCTGAGTGGCTCTGCTGGTCTGCCCTGGTATGAGAGCATCTCTGAAACTTTCTGTTCAGTCCCTTCTGCCCTGGGCCATGGAGGGAACAAGATTGCCTGTAGCACCCTCAGGGCATCTGCAGCTCTGCAGGAAGGCAGTGATTAGTGTCAAATCCGAGGCGCTCAGTTTCTGCACATGAGGTTCAGGAAGGAGTTGTCCTCCCAAGCATCAGTGACTGGACGGTGCCAGAAACTGGCCACTAGCTGAGCTGGACAAAATGGATCCACCTCCTCTATGGAGCTGCAGCAAATCCTGTCTTGCAAGGCTTAGTGCATGGGGTTTGGCCACAACTGCAGAGCTGTTATGATAATAGATTCAGGATTAAGAATATTTCCCCTCACATTAGACTGGGGTAGGACAGTTTTCTCCACGAAGTGCAATTTTCCTGCTTGATTCAAGCAACTATATTTCACTTAATCAGATTCCAGCCGTCTCTCTTAGCACTCTACTTGATGCCCTTGACTGAATAGAAACTCTTCACACTAGCTTGGGGCACACTGGACACCTGCAGCTTTTCCTTTCTGCCTCTGAGATGGGGCAAATAAAAGTGGGACTGTTACAGCAATTTCAGGCTTCGGTGCCTTGGTTGCCTTGCCTTGCCTGTGATGCACTGTTTTAGCTTCCTGCTGAGCAAATGCTTTATTGAGCATTTATCATTGGGTTCATATAGGGACTTCAGGGTAATATAATTTAATGTCCTAAAATATACATTAGGTCAGATTAGGTGATTTAAGAACCCTTTAGACTACACGAAGCTGTGAAAGACAGCTATGCGTCTGATTAGATTTCACAACATAGCAAACAGATTTAAATCTGCACTTGTGTTTTTTTCTCTGGGAACAACTACAAGCAGTTGGGTACAGCCCCCCCTCAATGGGAAGTTTTGGCGTAAAGCCTTGCGCTGGGTCTGGTTCTAGCACGGTGGTCCCAAGCCCTTGTTTCACGGGCAGCATGTTGACTGAGAGTCCTTCCAACATTACTCATGGTCACAGGAAATTAAAAAGCTAAAACTGAGACGGACAGGAAGAGCGAAGCATAACGATGCCCCCCAGCACATTCCTGCCTGAGCGCTGTTTTGGCCAGGGCCGCAGAAGGACAGCGAGTGTTAGATTAGATACCACAGGCACTGGTGTCATGAAAGACTTTCCTATTGATCGTGTTGCCCTTAACTTCATTAGAAGACATAGGGCTAGGCTTTCTGCTGGTATGGATTTGTGAGTTTTGAGGACATAACACAAGTTATACCCATTTTATGCCTGCAGAGACTTTGGCTTATCTCTATGACCCTGCTTTTCCTTTTGCTCAGTGTTTGTTCCCTCTCCGAAACTTTCTCAAGCACAGGCTGAAATGTGAGTTATATATTACTCCACTTTTGCTAAGATCATCAGAAGCCTTTAGGCATAAAAACCTAAGAATAAAAGATCTTTTTTTTCCCCTACTAATATTGACCCCAACTGTAAATGGGATCTTTGCCTGGCTGAGAATTTCAGGATGCATTAGGATTCAGAGAGAAACCACAGTAAAAAATAACAGCCATCAGTGTTTCCTAACTGACCATGAAAGGCACATTACAGAAAGTATAAATAAATAGTGCCTCTGCGCAGACCTGCCCCTTGTCATTGTATCACCTTATTTCTTGCTTTATAGCATAGTACAGAAAGTGAGCGAGAGAGATTCGAGTTAAGCCAACTACAAAAGCATATTAAGCTCACGCTATATCCACTGACCTGCTATTTTGCTCCGGCAATCCAAGCCCGAAGGCAAATCCTGGACCCTTCCTCTTCCTCAGGCGTCCCACGCAAAGTCCTCCTCAGGTCTGCAATAGTCACCCTGCTCTTCCCTTAACCTGAAGTCAGGGGTTGCTGCTGCCGAGCCCCAGGAGGAGTGGACTGACAAGAACAGGGGTTAAAATGTCTTTCCACTTCTGGAAGTCTGTTTTTGCCAAGTACTCTGTCCTGTCAGTTACAGAGGGAACAAACACAAGCAGCAGCAGCAGCAGCAGCTGCTGATCTTGCTCTTTCCTAGTCTATAATTATAACGCCACTTGCCATCGGAAGGACCCCTTTCATTTGAATGAAGAATCTTGCGAGGGTTTGGCTGGCACCTCCACTTTTCTACATTTTATTTCCCATCCCCAAAACGGGATGAACAAGAAGGGAGCATTTTTCTCCGAGACCTTTCTTGAAAAGAGTGATCTCTGAGCTAGCCCTGTGAAGTCACATCAGTGAATAGCACTGATGTCATCTAAACGGGAAGACAGAAGACAACTCCACCAAACTTGGAAGTGTGCTCCCGCTGCACCTCGATCCCAGCCTGGAGCACAACTTTGCTGCATTGCTGATTCAAATTGGGAAATCAGGACTCTGGGGTATGCTGTCGAAATCACCCATCCCTCAAAACAGGCAGAGTTGCTGTTACCAAAAGACTCAATGAACCTATTCACGATGGTACGTTTCAGCATGTGAAAGCCTTTCTGTGACTGGAGGACCTGCACAGGACTTCTTCCCCCCTTCCTCTTTGTAAAATGAGATGAACTCTGTCTTTTATGACCCGTGGCATTAAGAGGGAGCTGTAAAAGGTGATAGACTGTGAAAGCCCAGGAGATGTCATATAATGTTGCCACAAATCTCTACGGAAAATGAAAGAATGCAACTGTGAAGTAAATAAAAAAATTGCAGGGAGGGAGAGTAAGCAAGATTTATAGATTTAATACATTTTATGATGAAAGGTTTTTTTCCCCCTGCCTTAGTCCCATTAAGCTATCTGAGACCACTTATTTAATTAAAACTCTTTCGGAAAGAAAATAAGTTGCTGCCATTGTTTGCCTTTCTTCTCATTGGCAATGGCAGAAGGAAGACACTTTGATGTCAAAGCAGACGAGACATTAGGCTGTGGCATGTGTGTGTCAGGCAGTGGCCTGTGGCGAAAGATGACAAATCATTTTAGCATTCAGTGACTTGGCATGAAGAAACATACT